GTGATCAGAGTCAGGGCTCAGTGTGTGTCTGGGATCAGGGCTCAGTGTGTGAGCAGAATCAGGCTCAATATGTGTCCAGGGTCAGAGCTTAGAGTGTGATCAGGGTCAGGGCTCAAGAAGGGGGGATTGTGTGTCCAGGGTCAGGGCTTAGTGTATGATCAGAGTTATGGCTCAGTGTGTGTCCAGGGTCAGGGCTCATGTGTGATCAGAGTCAGGGCTCAGTGTGTGTCCAGGGTCAGGGCTCAGTGTGTGTCCAGGGTCAGGGCTCATGTGTGATCAGGGTCAAGGCTCAGTGTGTGAACAGGTTCAAGGCTCATGTGTTATCAGGGTCAATGCTCAGTGTGTGTCCAGGGTCAGGCTCAGTGTGTGTCTAGGGTCAGGGCTCAGTGTGTGTCCAGGGTCAGGGCTCAGTGTGGGATCAGGGTCAAGGCTCAGTGTGTGAACAGGTTCAAGGCTCATGTGTTATCAGGGTCAATGCTCAGTGTGTGTCCAGGGTCAGGCTCATGTGTGATCAGAGTCAGGGCTCAGTGTGTGAACAGGTTCAAGGCTCATGTGTGATCAGGGTCAAGGCTCAGTGTGTGTCTAGGGTCAGGCTCAGTGTGTGTCTAGGGTCAGGGCTCAGTGTGTGTGCAGGGTCAGGGCTCATGTGTGATCAGGGTCAGGCTCAGTGTGTGTGCAGGGTCAGTCTCAGTGTGTGTCCAGGGTCAGGGCTCATGTGTGATCAGGGTTAATGCTCAGTGTGTGTCTAGGGTCAGGACTCATGTGTGATCAGGGTCAGGCTCAGTGTGTGTCTAGGGTCAGGCTCAGTGTGTGATCAGGGTCAGGTTCAGTGTGTGTCTAGGTTCAGGGCTCATGTGTGATCAGGGTCAATGCTCAGTGTATGTCTAGGGTCAGGCTCAGTGTGTGTCTAGGGTCAGGCTCAGTGTGTGATCAGGGTCAGGTTCAGTGTGTGTCCAGGGTCAGGGCTCATGTGTGATCAGGGTCAATGCTCAGTGTGTGTCTAGGGTCAGGACTCATGTGTGATCAGGGTCAAGGCTCAGTGTGTGTCTAGGGTCAGGGCTCATGTGTGATCAGGGTCAAGGCTCAGTGTGTGTCTAGGGTCAGGACTCATGTGTGATCAGGGTCAATGCTCAGTGTGTGTCTAGGGTCAGGACTCATGTGTGATCAGGGTCAATGCTCAGTGTGTGTCTAGGGTCAGGACTCATGTGTGATCAGGGTCAAGGCTCAGTGCGTGTCTAGGGTCAGGCTCAGTGTGTGATCAGGGTCAGGTTCAGTGTGTGTCTAGGGTCAGGGCTCATGTGTGATCAGGGCCAATGCTCAGTGTGTGTCTAGGGTCAGGGCTCATGTGTGATCAGGGTCAAGGCTCAGTGTGTGTCTAGGGTCAGGGCTCATGTGTGATCAGGGTCAAGGCTCAGTGTGTGTCTAGGGTCAGGCTCAGTGTGTGTCTAGGGTCAGGCTCAGTGTGTGATCAGGGTCAAGGCTCAGTGTGTGTCTAGGGTCAGGGCTCATGTGTGATCAGGGTCAATGCTCAGTGTGTGTCTAGGGTCAGGACTCATGTGTGATCAGGGTCAAGGCTCAGTGTGTGTCTAGGGTCAGGGCTCATGTGTGATCAGGGTCAAGGCTCAGTGTGTGTCTAGGGTCAGGCTCAGTGTGTGATCAGGGTCAGGTTCAGTGTGTGTCTAGGGTCAGGGCTCATGTGTGATCAGGGTCAAGGCTCAGTGTGTGTCTAGGGTCAGGGCTCATGTGTGATCAGGGTCAATGCTCAGTGTGTGTCTAGGGTCAGGACTCATGTGTGATCAGGGTCAATGCTCAGTGTGTGTCTAGGGTCAGGACTCATGTGTGATCAGGGTCAGGCTCAGTGTGTGATCAGGGTCAGGTTCAGTGTGTGTCTAGGGTCAGGGCTCATGTGTGATCAGGGTCAATGTTCAGTGTGTGTCTAGGGTCAGGACTCATGTGTGATCAGGGTCAAGGCTCAGTGTGTGTCTAGGGTCAGGGCTCATGTGTGATCATGGTCAATGCTCAGTGTGTGTCTAGGGTCAGGACTCATGTGTGATCAGGGTCAAGGCTCAGTGTGTGTCTAGGGTCAGGCTCAGTGTGTGATCAGGGTCAGGTTCAGTGTGTGTCTAGGGTCAGGGCTCATGTGTGATCAGGGTCAGGCTCAGTGTGTGTGCAGGGTCAGTCTCAGTGTGTGTCCAGGGTCAGGGCTCATGTGTGATCAGGGTTAATGCTCAGTGTGTGTCTAGGGTCAGGACTCATGTGTTATCAGGGTCAGGCTCAGTGTGTGTCTAGGGTCAGGCTCAGTGTGTGATCAGGGTCAGGTTCAGTGTGTGTCTAGGTTCAGGGCTCGTGTGTGATCAGGGTCAATGCTCAGTGTGTGTCTAGGGTCAGGCTCAGTGTGTGTCCAGGTCCAAGGCTCATGTGTGATCAGGGTCAATGCTCAGTGTGTGTCTAGGGTCAGGCTCAGTGTGTGATCAGGGTCAATGCTCAGTGTGTGTCTAGGGTCAGGCTCAGTGTGTGATCAGGGTCAGGCTCAGTGTGTGATCAGGGTCAGGCTCAGTGTGTGAATAGGGTCAGGGCTCAGTGTGTGGCCAGTTAAAGGTTCTGCCTGATTTGAGATCTGGGCTGTGAGTAAGGTCAGGGTTTGGATAGGATCCTCATCTTTATGGGTCTGAGAGGTCCCTTTGACGCTGGTGGTCACAGATGTGCACCCTGTGCACCCTGTGCAAGCCTTCCCTGGGCACAGCATTCCTCCCAGGCCCTTGGGCTCCTCCTGTGTGTACCACGACACAGGCACACACTGGCACAGACCCCATCTACTCTCTGGTGCCCAGGGACAGGAGTGGCCGACAGGTGAGGTGGGTCAGGGGAAAGTGCATTTGGATCCTGCCCCCTTCTGGCCAGCCTCCAGCCCTCCCTCTTAGACTCTGCTGTCCCATGCTGGGACAGAGGCCTGTCACCCTGAGTCTCTGCTGGACCACAAGCCTCACAGAGCCCCGATGCTCAGTGACGGTGCACAGAGGGCAGGCCCAGCTGGGAGAGGCTACACACAGCCACCTGGGCACCCTCCTCTTGTTGCTGACGCCCAGACCTGTGATGGCCTAGTTCTCTGGTGCCTGGGGGTACAGCCCACCTGGGGTGGTGGGCAAATCATAGCATCCCTCCACAGCTGCAAGAGAAGGAGCAGGCAGAGGCCACGCCAATGCCCAGCGCCCCAGAGGCTTGACCGTGGTTCTCTTGCTGCTCACACTCCTGCCCCGAAGCAAGCAGACTCCAGCCACAGGAAGCGGGGCTGAGGTTCCTGGGGAGGATCTGCCCAAAGCTGCCCAGCAGGTCCTCCTTGGCCACCTCGGGTCAGGGTGTCTTTTACTCAGACCTGAACTGTCAGAAATGTGGGCATGGCTGTCCTGCAGGCCACTGGTTTCCAGTGCACTAGTGGAAAGCAGGAAGGCTCCGTCCCAGGCGGGCCAGCCTGGAGGGCAGGCAGGTGTCCCGGAGCTGCAGCAGGTGGTGGGTGAGCAGCCCTGAGGGAGGGTTCTGGCTCGGGGCAGGGCTTGGGCCAGTGTCAGGGGCAGACAGGAGGGGCCTGCAGCAGCAGCACCATCTCCACCCCCAAAACTTCACCAAGTCCAAAGGTGGCCACCTGGGGACTGAAAGCATAGGGATACCTTTCTTTATCTTTTCCTGACACCTTCTTTTTCACAAAGAGCTTATGCCACTTGGAAAACCCAAAGAAAGCTATCCGACAGCAACCAGGGTTGGTGGCTTCCCAAGCCGTCAGGTGTCACAGCTCAGCTTCCAGATCCTCGCAGGAAAGACCAGAGGAGCCGGGTGCAGGCAGGTGAGGTAGCGTGCCTGGCCCTGCACACACACCCGGCACAGGGCCTTTGCACAGTTGTTCTTCTGTCACAATGCTGTTCCCAAACGCCCCTCTGCCACAGACCCTTCTGCTTCACTTTTTGGCAGATGGTGTGACTCAACATCTTACACTGGCCTGTTTACTCCCCTGGGCCTCCCCCCTGGGGACAGGAGGAAGCTGAGGGCTGGGACCTCGTACAGCAGTGACCCAGCAGTGGTCCTGGAGGTCAGAAGGTGGGCAGGTGGGTAGACAACTTCCCATCCCCCATCAGCTTCCATCAGTCCCCCAACAGCCCCACCACGGCCTCCCCTCTGCCGATGCCCATCCTGTCTGCCCTTCCCGGCTCTCCGTGCCCTGCAAACTGCAGGCTGAGGCTGTGGTTGTGCCTCCCTGATGCCCTTCCTCTCTCCACCAGCCACTCAGGACTTGCGTGTCCAGCCACAGCATGAAGGATGGCTGCATGTACGGCCAGCCCCTGGGGGTGGGCTGAGCGCACTACACGCTGCCCGGCCTGGGGAAGGGGTGCGGGCAGCGCCAGCCACAGCTCCGGATCGCACCGTCCCCGGCGCACACTGAGTCCTGTGGGCCCAGCGCCAAGCCCTCTCTGTCCTGCTCCTGAGACTGCATCTCCAGGCTCTGGGGAGCACTCTGCTGGCCCTGCACACACGTCCTCTGACCCGCCTCGGCCCCTGCCCCCGTGAGTGATGGCCATCTCCGCCCAGCAGCGCCAGGCCTGGCACAACCTCCAACCTCTGCTTCTGCAGGGGCCAAGCTCGGCTGCTGTCTACAGAGTGGTCGACGAGGGTCTGAGCACCAGGCCATGGCCGTACCCACACTGCTGGGGACCCCGGGGCCCGCGCCCCTCCCCGTCACTTGCATTCTCCCTGGGCTGCGTATCAGCAGTCCTGGGTTCCCAGCACCTGGCGCCACCCCACACTAGCACCAGGACTTGGCCCGCTCTGGGCACAGGGAGGCTCAGGTGCCCCTCCTCCCTGGGAAGGGGGCGGGGCCGGCCTGGGCGGGGAGCAGCAGAGGACCATGAAAGAACACAGGTGGACAGGGGGTGGCGACCCCCCAACCTAAAACCTCACTCCAGTGAGTCCCCCAGCCCTCCAGCCCCAAGGCCACCAAGCCCAGAACTTACACATCTGTCTCATCCCACAGGATACAGGTCTGGTTGGTGGTGCCCTGGGAGAGAAGAGGGGAGTCAGGGCCACTGCCCGCTCCAGAGGGCCACTGCCTGATCCACCCGAGGGTGTGCTGGGCACCCTGCCCGTGAGGTCACCCAACAGACTGCGCTTCACAGGGAAGAAGCTGAGACCCAGAGCAGAGATGGGACTGGCCCAAGGTCACCGTGTCTGGCTTGGCCCCACCTACCCACCCAGTGTGGCTTTGGACAGCTGGCTCCCTTGAGCCCAGGTCAGGTGCTCAGTCCTTACCTAGCCCTTTCTGTTGATCATTTGATAAGGGAACAAAGGCACAGAGAGGCTGAGCAGACCCCAGTGTCACACAGCTGGAAAGGACAGGGCTGAGCTCTCCCATGGCTTCCCACAGTCCCAGCCTGGGGCTTGTGGCTGACACTGCCCTACCCTGTGTGGGTGACCTGGGTGACCTGACCCCAGGGTCCTGGCCCTCAGCCCATCCAGAACAGGCCATGGGGCAGCGGGAACTCTGATCCTACCCCCCTGGGGCCTGGGCTCCCTGGAGTCACAGCTGCTCTTCTGGGGCCAGGCACCCCACGGCTCCACCAGGGAGGCAGGGCCTGCCTGTCACACAGCAGCAGCCGCTGGAACCCAGTGCCATCCCAGGTGCCCAGGGAGGAGGTTCTCGGCCCGGGAACTGCAGAGGCCCTCCTGCAGGGCAAGGCCTGCCGTCTGCCCAAGGCTCCCGCGCAGGCACCCCTCACTCTTCCCAGCTCAAGGGCACCCTCAACATGGAGGGCAGTGGGCTTTCCAGGGGAGTCAGGAACCAGGGAAGGGGAGGCTGGGCCCCACCACAGCCCCCAGCCGTGGCTGACACCTCAGAGCAGCTTCTGGGAGAGGCAAGAGTTCGATTTCAGCACCCCCGTCCAGCTGTGGTGCCACCCCGGGCAAGTCGCCACACCTCTGGGCCACAGTGTCCCCAGCTGCACTGGATAATCGCAGCTCACTCTCAGGTGAAGACCCAAGAATCCTGAGCACAGACGTGCAGGGTGTCAGTGGCACGCGGGGGCGGGGGCACTCACGTTGTACATGTGGGCAAACTCGATCTCCAGGGGTGTGAGCAGGGAGCGAGGCGGGGGCTTCACGGTCACCGAGATGACCTTGGAGTTCAGGACTGTGGTGTTCCTGGTGGGAAGCAGCAACGTCAGGGGCTGGTCTGTAGCCCGGCCTCCCCAGGAGCTGGCCCCTCCACCCCTGCTCCGGGCCTCTGCCCTCCTGGCCCCTCGAGGCCAGCCCACCCGCCCAAGGCTCCCTCACGCCTCCTGTGGAGGGCTCGTCCACCCCACCTGCCCACCTCTGCAGGGCCAGGAAGCTGCCCAGGTTCCGGTATAGCACAGTGCCCACCACGAACACGGAGGTGTCGTCGGCCTCTGGAAGGAAGCACACGGTCACCCCACCCATGCTGCCTGCTGCCCTGGGCCCACTGCCCTGCCCATCTGCAGGCCCTTCCACCCAGAACAGTTATGGCTGGGACCTGGGGCAACTGCCTGGGTCCCCTGTGGGAGAGGGAGAGCTGCGCCCTCCTGGAGTGACACCGAGGGCTGCAGGGCAGGCAGGACTCGCTTCTCCCCCGGGAATGGGGACCCTTGCCCCCACAAGTCCAGCCAGCCCCCCCCCCGCAGAGAGCTGGTCCACCGGTCACTTAGCTCAGCCCACCGGGGTTCCAGGTGACCACCAGGCACTGTCCCCCTGTAGGGGGATGAACTCCAGAGCACCAGGAAGTAACAAGGATGCAGCCCTGCCCCTCGGGGCAGGGAGCTGGGCCCCAGAGGGACTGCTCAGGTGACAGGTCCTCCAACTCTGGGGCCTGAGTTCCCTAGCAGCCCCTGCCCTGGAGGCCCTCACCTGCCAGCCCTGTGGAGAAGACGCTCTTGGACACGGTCACCCTGTCCTCCGGCACCTTGGCCCAGTCTCCCGTGGCCCGCCAGCCCTTCATGGGGAAGCTGATGTCCGAGGCACTGCTGGCCGGAAGCTTGTGGATACTGAGGACTGGGGCAGGGCAAGGGGACAGGACAGACAGAAGGTCACATGGCCAGAAGCCTCAGCCTGGGGAGCAGGACAATGGCACAGAGATGCCCAGGGCTCTGGGGGCATGGGTCATCATCCAGCTGCCACCTCCCAGTCCCTGCTGCAGCCCTGGGCACAGGAGCTGCAGATTCCAGCCCCACACACGCTGGCCGCACACGGCTCCGCACTCTCAGGCGGGAAAGCCCCCATGGGGTCACAGACGGGGAGCAGAAGGGGCAGCAGGTATGGCCCAAGCCCCAGAGAGTAAGAACCAAGAGGGGACCCTGCCCAGACTCTGTCCCATGGAGGATCCACAGGGAGCCAGGTGCCACTCGCCCCTGCCTCCCTCCTGGGACGTGGCCCACTAGCCCCAAGTCTGTGACCTACCCTCCTGCTGTGAGTCCACTGTGCAGGTGGACATCCCCTCTCAGGACACTAAGGAAGGCTGCCACAGTCAACCCAGGCCTCAAGAACACAGCCCCGGGGCGCAGCCTCCCACCCGTCACAACTGCGTCCCTTTCATTCCCATATCCCACCCCAGGCAGCCACTGACTGCGCCCTGGTGTCCCTGAGCCTGGGCGGTCACACAGATGTGGAGTTCGGGGAGCACTAGAACCTCTGGGGCCATCCTAGGGCTCTGGGGCCCCCAAGGCTGCCCCTGCCCTGCCCAGCCCAACCCAGGCCCACCGGGTGCCACTGCTTAGTGGCAGGGCAGTGGGCCCTGTCTGCACACCCTGGCTTCACCTCACTGGCTTGGCCTTGCCCTCCTTGGACTTCTGAGGTCACCCTGGGGACAGAGACAGCCCACCCCCTGTTTCAGAAGGATGCTGCAAGCAAATGACGTCACTCATGAGGCCCCTCCAAGAGCACCTGCCCTGTGCTGGGCACTGGTGTGCAGCCTGAGGGGCAGCAGTGGACAGACAGACCCCTCCTGGGTCAACAGCAGTGGATACGACAGGGCCTGCCGGGCAGTGGGGGAGTCCTCCCGTTGGGGCAGCTCTGGATAGACCTGGTGGCTGAGGAGGGGCACATCCTGGAACACGGAGGAGGAAGAAGAGGCCCTTCGGCTGGAGCCCATGGGTAAGGGCAGAGGGCAGGGCAGTGAGGCCAACAGGCAGGGTCCGGTCCTGCTGGGGCAGGGAGAAAAAGGGCAAGGGTGCTCCCGGGACCCTTTCAAAGATGGTGCTGTCCAGCAGTGAGCAGCAGGCGAGGCTGCAGGCCAGGGGAGGGGCAACTTCAAGGTTCTGGCCTGGCCAGGGAGTGGGAGCAGGAGCCCCAGCTTGGTGGACATCCAGGCAGCAGGGCCCTGAGCTGGAGCCAGGGAGGGCCAGGCTGCAGGGGGATGCTGGACCCTTGACCTGGACCTGCGGACCCTGTGTGGTTTTAAGGCCTTGAGAAGGTGAGTCACAGGCACGAGAGAGCGTGGGGCAGGAAGGCCCGGAGCCTGGACCCCACCTGTTCAGGTGGGACAGGGACCAGCCAGGGAGGAGTGGACGGTCCAGAGTGGGAGGTGGAAGGGCTGGTTTGATGTCCAGTGGAGAAGGGGGAGAGGAAATGGGGAGGGGAGGTGGCCAGGAGTCCGAAGCCAGGAGCTGCCCAGAACACAGTAGGCACCAAGCTGACCAAAGGGTCTTTTTGTTTGTTTATTTTGGTACCAGGGGTTGAACCCAGGGTGCTTAACCAGGGAGCCACACCCCAGCCCTTGTTGTTCTCATTTTGAGACGGGGCCTTGCTGAGATGCTCAGGAACTCACTGAGTTGCTGAGGCTGGCTTTGAACTTGCAATCCTCCTGCCTCAGCCCCCCGAGCCAATGGGATTGTATATATGTGCCACCATGCCTTGCTGACCACAGGGTTCTATGGTGGACATCACCAATGACCCTGATGGAGAGCAGAGGACACACACCTGGCCGGGTGGGCACCTGGTAGGTAGGGTGAGTGGAGAAGGTGAAGGAGGCTGGGGTGGGTGGGCCAAGGCAGAACGTCCTCTGTTAGGGCTCCAGTTCTCATGGGCATGCCTGGGTGGGGCCTGGGAGAAGGCGCACCATGGGGGGTACGGGGGCAGCACGTGGAGGACAAAGGTCAGGGTGACCGGCAGGTAGGACCTCATGAGAGAAAGCACTGTGGGCCAGAGGGGCCAGTGGTTCTGTGGGCACGGGACTGACCAAGCTGGGAGCCAGGGCCAGTGACGGGGACAGGCAGCTGCAGTGAGCAGAGAGAAGATGCAGGACTGCCCACAGGAACCGGGGCTGACCGGACCAGGGCATGCCCCGGGTTAGCGTATGGGGGGCACATGGGTGAAACTGGGTCCCCAAAGGTCCACAGGGTACAAGGAGTTCAGCTCCCCCGGGCTCCCCCCTGGGTCCTGGGGTCTGAGCACCTGGATTCCAAGCTGGGAGCAGGTGGAGAGAATGATCTGGAAGGAGCCTTGAGGAGGGAGGAGGGCCTGGCCCACCCCTCCCAGAGTCCCAGGGCTTTGGGAGGAAGCCAGCCCCTGCCCCTGGAGGGACCAGCTGGGTGGTGCTGGGCCATGGGGCGGTGGTTTCTGCTGATGAGTGGGGGGTCCCGAGTGCTCAGGAGATGGGAAGAGGGACAGAAAGGGGTGGGGTGTATGGGGTCTCGGGACGCGTGGGAGGTCCAGGTAATGGTGACTGAGAGGAGGCCAGGGCCTCCCGTGGTGACCAAGGCCTGGCTCTGAATGGCGTAGGCCCGGGGCAGACTGCCAGAGGCAGGTCAGTGCCCCTCCAAGGCATGGGCCATGGGGGGGCGCCCTGGAGCCAGCACCTCTGTGAAGTGCTGGGCCAGGAGGGGTGAGAGCTCCCTTCCACACCTGTCTCTGGGTGGCCACACAAAAGCCCTGGGCCACCTGTAACTCAGGAAAACACCTCGTGGGAAGCGAAACACCTTGGGATGGTGACGCAGGCTGGGGCCACAGACCGCATTTGACAGGTGGCCTCCCAAGCGCCTGGGCTCCCCGAGATGACTGAGCTCTGAGGTCCTGAGCTCCACACAGAGACCGGCATCTGCGCCTCCAGCTTAGGCACCCGCCTGGCCAGGGCAGCTCTGGGGCTGCAGCCAGGACAGCCGCAGGGGCTGGGGGACCCGTGGGCCCTAGCAAAGCTCAGCCTCGTCACGCCACTGAAGGTGGACCCCAGGGAGGGGACACCTCCTCCTGGGTGCTTCGAGATCACAGCTGGGCCCGGTGCTCCCTCCTGGGTCCCCGTGGGAGGCTCCCTAACCAGGGCTGGGCAGGCTTGGGACCATGACCCAAGACAGGAAGTTAGGGACGAACTAGAGTGATCTGTGAGTCTGCAGAGACAGCGGCTGCCCATCTCCAGGGCGCCCCGCTGATCTCCGTGGCTCTCCACCTCCTGTCCAGACAGACCCCAGGATCATGCCACGTTTAAAAAGGAAACCGAGGCTCAGCCTTCACCGTGGAGCCAGGGAAGTTCAGGCCCCTGACAAGGTGCTCTTGGGGCTGCAGGGCAGAGGGGGGCTGGGGCAGGGGGAGCCGGCCCGGGACCCAGGGCTTCAGGCAAGAGGCTGGCTGTGTGCTCCTGGTGGGACTTGGAACCTCCCAGGGTGCCCATCATCAATGCGATGGTCCCAGAGCTCGGAGACAAAAGCCAGCCCAGAACTGGTTCCCGTCCTGGCCAGGAGGGTCGCAGGGGCTGCCTGGCCACTGCTTCTCTATGTAGGTGGGAGACTGAGGCGGAGGGCCAGCAGGGAGCTGCAGGGCAGGACACAGAGGGCTGGCCGAGTAAGGGCGGCTTACCCAGGTTGTCTGTCACCTGGTACGCATCCCTCAAGTCCTTCATGCGGAAGCCAATGACATCCACAAAGTCCTCCACCAACCGGAAGAGCTCCTTGGCGTTGGGGCCCATCTGGGGAAGGCAGCCGGAGCTAGGGGAGCATGTGCTCCCGGGGGTGACGCCCCCTCCCTCGGCCTCCCCCTCCCCTGGCTGTTCCTTCTTCTTCTGGGTCCTGCCGGTCATTTGCCAGTGACCTCTGGCTTCCACCCCCACTTGCAGCCAGGATTGCTGGGACCCAGAGGGACTGCTGGATTTCAAGGGGTCCGAGGCTGGGGGCACGTCTCTGGGCCCATGCTAGGTACTGCCCTGGGGACAGGCGCAGAGGCAGACTCAAGGTCGGCCTGTGAGGACAGAAGGCTAGGTGCTCTTGCCCTGTGAGGAAGACCTGCCACCTCCAGGTCCTCTGGCCACACAGCATGAGGTCACCTGGTTCCCGCCTGCCACCAAGCCCACAGGACAAGCTGCTGTCCTTCCCATGAAGAAACTGGCTTCTTCCCAAAGCCATACACCCACAGGAGGCCCCACCCAGGGCTGGTCTGGGGCCCAGGCGCACAGACTGCCCACACCCTCCATACCAGCTGGGCCTCCTCCCACTTGTCCCGGTTCTCCTCTGCCAGCAGGTTACTGATGATCTGGACAAAATTCTGGAAATACAAAGGGCCAGTGAGAGAGAAGAAGGCACTGGTGTGTGACCAGGACCTGGCCCAGGCTGCTGTCAGGACCAGAGCTCGGCTGGGACCAGGCCTGAGGCTCAATCACAGGTTGGGGGTCACAGTCCCAACCGGGGCCAAGGCTGCGGCTCAGCCTCTAACTGGGGTCCAGGATGGCTCTCCAGGCCCTGTCTCAGGCACCCGCCCCCTGGGTGTCCTCTGACAGCCCACCTGCACATCCCCAGGGGTGGGGCTGTAGTAGGCCCTCCGGAAGATCTCGGTCATGTTCCTTAGGACATCGATGGTGGACAGCAGGTCCCCACTGTAGCTGGTCCCATCCTGGGAGATCTCCACCAGTGTCTGGATGACCTCTGAGACCCCCTCCCCGGGCAGCCCACGTTGAGCCTTAGCCAGGTGCTCCCGGGTCTGGGGAGGATGGAGAGGGCCACTGCTGTCATGTCTAGGCAGGTGCCAGGGGCCTCCCAGGCCTGGAGGGCCCCTGTAACCCCTGCCTCGTGTCCAGAGGGTGGGTGTGTCATGGGGACAGGCAGAGGAAGCCCTGGGCCAGGGCGGCACTCACCATCATCTGGATGTTGCGATAGTCGATGGAGACGCAGCGGATGTAGGTGGGGGGCTCCCAGTAGGCGATGCCCTCCTCGTCCAGCTCACAGCGCCGCAGGATGAGGCCTGGGGAGACCTTCCCCTTCTCAGGTGGACGTGCACTGCCCAGCACAGGGGTCCCACGCACAGCTCCCGCAGGAGTGGCTCTGCGCCTAACTCTCCACCCCGATACCCAAGGCCGGGCCAGCCCTGTTCCCTTCATGCCACAAACTCTGAGCTGCCATTGAGCACCGCCCGGGGTGCCAGGGACCCAGCAGGCACCAAGCCTTCCTGGGCCCACTGCAGGGAGCCAGGGCCTCTCCCAGGCTCCTCCCAGTCCAGAGCCCTGGGGAGCACCGGCACCTGGCCCCCGTCTTTCCTCCACAGGGCGCAGGGCTTCGCTGGCCCAGGACACAGGGCAGCTTCGGGGGCTATCTGGCATTACATCAATGGCCTGGGGCAGAGGTCACTGTCTGATGGCAGGTACCCCAGGAGGTCCTCAGAGGAAGAGGGAGAGCTGACGCACACAAGGAGGTGACAGCCATGTGGGGCCATCACAGCCTGTCATCCAACAGGACCACAGGGTGGCCTGAGGCAGCTCCCTGGCCACTGATGCAGATTGGGACCAAAGCAACAGGCCCTAGGGTGCAGTCACACGCGCGGACAGGCTGGGCAAGGCACCGAGGGGCACTGTGTCCTTCACCTCACTCCTGAGAATTTGCAGTACGCAGCAACAACCAGGGGGGAGGGGAGCAGCAGGCGTGGCCAGCTGCCCCTGGCACCCACTGCCCTCCTTGTCCCCAGGACCCCTGTGGAGGACCTCCTAAGGCCTCCGCCACAGGTGAGGAAGCAGGTTCCGAGAGCCCCAATGCCATTCAGGGAAGAGGGCAGAGGTGAGGCCCGACCTGAGCCCTGGTTTCCCTGCCTGCTGCCCTCAGCACAGAGACTGCAGGAGAGGCGGCCAATACCAGGGTGCAGCCGAGCCCCTTCCCCACGGAGCCCACCCTGCTTTCCGCACCCTCTCTCAGCCACAGCGGCTCCTCGGGGCCCGCGGGGTTACCAATGCTGCACTCCCAGGAGCCTTGCTCCTCCCTGCCCTGCAAGCCCAGGTGGGGACGCTGACTTCACGCGCCCCAGTCTCCCGCCTGTGACCGGGCTGTGGTGACCTCATGGGGGTGTGGAATCAGAAAGGGACTCTCACATTAAGTGCATGGCATGGGTGCTGCCCTGAAAGTGTCCCCACAACGTGGTCCCAAACTCCTGGCCTGTGCTACTGGACATCAGCGTGCACACGGGGCTGCCTAGGCTCTGGGCCTTAGAGTGGAGCCTGGGGGCAACTCTATGGGGGCGTCACAGGAGCCCCCATACCCCTTACCTGTGGCATTGCGCGGACACCGGACTGCAGCCACCTCCCCAGCTGGTGTTTCCTTCCAGACCACAGCTCCAAAGTTGTCCTCGTCACAGATCTCATGTGGCTCTGCCAAGGGGCCAGAGATAGTGAGGGGCTGGGGACCAGGAAGGGGCTGGGAGCTGGCACCCACTGTTCCAACTAGGTCAGCTGCCCAGACCCCCCAAGCCTCTCCCCAAAGCCCAAACACGGTGTGGGAGGGCTCTCACCGGGACATCGCTGGGTGCCACACTGCCGGTACTCATCCTGGGGGCCCTGGCAGGCTGCTCCCCCAAAGAAGGGCCCAGAGCAGACACGTTCCCGCCGCTGGCTGCCACCACCACACGTGACACTGCAGCTGCCCCAAGAGGCCCAGGCCTGCCACCTGCCGTCCACTGCAAGGGTGGCCAGACAGAAGCACAGACAGTGGGGATAGGAGGGTAAGGGTCAGGGAGCAACAGGGCACAGGGGCACACATGGGGCCACAAGGACAGAGATGAGAACCCAAGGAGCAGGAGCCACGAGGAGAAAGAAAACCAAGACCAGGGTCCAAGAGACCGGAGACCAGCACGACGCCGACCACAGAGCTCCCGCACCACGGGGCACGCGCCCGGCCCACTGACTGAGCACCAGCCCCACGGCCACATGCAGGACCACAGCCACCCAGGGGGCCTGGCCTCCCCCGAGGCCTGCCTGCAGGCCTACAGGCCGGGGCCCTGACCTGGACACTGCTGCAGGAAGCAGTCCCGCGTCTCCACCCAGTGGCCCTGGCACTCGGCGCCCCCGTAGGAGGGCCCGTTGCACTCGCGTGTGCGCTGCTGCCGGCCCTGGGAGCAGCTGGCCGAGCAGGTGCTCCAGCTGGACCACTCGTTCCAGTTTCCGTCCACTGCCCGGCCCAGGGGAGGAAGAAGACAGGAAGCCAGCGTGAACACCCAGCACCCCAGGGCTCCACCGGCACCCCGACCCCGCCTGAGCAGTGTGAGGGTCCAGCCTCTGGTCACACTGAGCCAGGTCTGGGCTCCTGGGGTTGGGACGTGCGCCCCTCCTGCCCGCCCCGGGCCCTCCCTCTCACCTACCAGGGCACAGGGCGATGTTGCAGAACTTGGTCTGCTTCTCGGGACCCTCGCAAGGGTTGCCTCCAAACTGGGGGGGCCTGCAGGTGCGCGTGCGGTCCCGGAAGCCGCGGCCGCAGGTGCTGGAGCAGAGGCTCCAGGGTGACCACTCGTCCCAGGCTCCGTGCACTGTCGAGGGACAGAAAGGCGCTGCTGCCCTCTGAGTCGGCGGCACCTGCCCTGCTGCCCACTCGCGCCCCACGGCCGCGCCCACCTGGACACACGGCCGAGTTGTTGCACAGCCGCTGCTCGCGCAGGGGCCCGCTGCACTGCGTGCTGTAGGAGGAGGACACGCAGAAGCGGGTGCGGGTCTGCCAGCCCTCGCCACAGGTGCTGGAGCACACGCTCCACGGGGACCACTCCTCCGCCGCCGGGTCACCTGCGGGCCACACCTGCCACATCACAGGACGGCCCAGCCAGCACTGCTCTGTGCCAGACCTGGAGGGCTGCCCAGGAGGAGCTGGGCCGGCTTTCCCACAAGGCCTGGAGCCTGAGGGCTGGCCTGGGCCACCGCCAGGTCCCCAGAGCAATCATTGGGACCTCCCCCACTAGATGGCGGCATTTTGAGGCACAGCAGCCCTGCCCTCTGCAGCTCACCAGTCTGTGGGTACGGGAACCCAAAATGCTGCAGCTCGTCCCCCAGCTCCTCCCGCCGCCGGGCATCCGTGGACCGCAGGGACTGGCTCCGGGAGCTGGTACGCCCAGCAGCTGCGGGGTAGACTCAGGTCAGCACCCCTGCTGGGGTGCCCTGTGTCCTTGGCCACAGTGGGCTTCTTGCCAGGACCACAGCTGCCTGGCCCCGCTGGGCGGCTGGGAAAGCAGGTTCAGAACACTGGCCTGGCGCCAGCCCTCCTCTGGTCACTACGGACCCCCAGGACGTGGTGCTGAGGGTCCTGTAGGGCCTGTCTCCCCTGCCTCGCAGCCCCTCTCTCTAAGCCTGTGGGGCTTGCAGGCCTGGGGTCACCTGCAGGATGGCTCCTCTGAGCCGCTGCCACTCCCTCCTGCTCAACATGCCATCTGCTGCCCCCACCCCTGCCCAATGCTCAGGGGGCCTCCCCAGGCTCCTGAGATGAGCTTGGGCCCCCAGGAGAGTTCATCAAGGGAAAAACAACCCAGAGAATGACGGTCTCATTAGAACTTGATTTAACTTTATGAGGGCAGCTAAAAAATGCACGAGGTCATTAGAGAGCCCTGTGGGAAATGCATCCGGGAGCTGCTCTGGCTGGGACGGGCTGGCCTGGCCGAGCTCGCTGGGGGAGGGAAGACGGGGCACTGCGGCCCAGCTGCAGCCCCACCCCGGCTCTGGCTCCCACCTGAACTCAGCCTGGCCTGGCCCTCACTCTGGGCTAGGATCCGCCCCATCACTCCACAAAGCCATGGGATCCTCGCAGCGCCGCCCCTCCTCTTCCCATCCTGGCGCCCTCTCTGTTGGGCCACTTGGCCTCTTCCAGGTCCAACCCACCTCGCACCGCCCCTCAGCAGCCGCCGCCCACCCCACCGCCCGCGCACTCACGGCCACAGGCCTTGCGGTTGCACAGACGACCCTCTTCCAGAACCCCCTCGCAGCCGCCGCCCTCGACGCCTGGTGCTGGCAGGCAGGTGCGCGTCCGCGTTTGCAGGCCTCCTCCGCAGTCCCTCGTGCACTCTCCCCACAGGGACCACAGCTTCCAACCGCCTGCGGAACCAGGAGGCGGGGTCAGAGCGCGGAGGACTGGGGACAGGCGGATGGAGTTGGGAGCGGTGGGCAGCACCCAGGGGAAAGCACCTGCTGCGGCTGGCTGGGAGGGGCAGAAGTGCCCCGTGGGGCCTTAGGGGACCTGGTGCCACCCAGCTCCTGGGCACCTGCTGGAGGGCTCAGGTCAGTCCTAGTACCTGGCACCTGGCACCGCCCAGGCGGGTTTGCCGGAGGGCAGTGGTCTCCCACCCAGCCCAAGGCTGTCTTAGACACAAGGACCCTGAGAGGCCCAGGGCAGAGAGCTGGCTAAGGCTTGCGTTCCTGCACACCTGGACACCCTCCCAGGCCCTTCATCAATTTCTGGCTCAGGTCCTGCTCCTCGGAGCTTTTGCCTCCTCTGCACAGAGGAGGGCTAGACTCGGCCATGGCCCAAGCCCCACCCAACCCCACGCCCACCAAGGTCCCACACCAGGGCCCAGCCTGGCAGACCCAAAGACCTATTTAAGACCCAGCAGAACTGACCACCAGCTGAGCTCTGGACACAGGCCTCCAGGCCCCTGGCCCTGCTGACTCCAGCCACCCACCTCAGCCTCTCCTAGGTCTTCCTCCACCCTGGCCCTGGTAGTCCACTGCCGTCACCGGAATGTTTCCCCCAACAACCAGGCCTGCTGCCCCTGGGGGCCTCAGCCCCTTGGTGGCCCAGGGCTTCTGAGAACACTGAGGGCTGCTTGAAGGGCCAGTGCCGGCAAGCACCAGGAGCAAGGCGCACTGGTGGGCCACCGGAGGCCTCCTGCTGGGGGACCTCGCACTACACAGCTGGGCCTCTGCCGTCCCCTGGTCTTCTGCACTCCAGAGCAGTGGGGTTAGATGGACTTCAGAAGAGTAGTTGACCCTTCACAGGCTGGGCTCAGGCCCAGAGGACAGGGTATCTCTGCTGAAGACACCCTGACCTATCCCTGTTGAGGAGGTTGGTGTTGGAGCCCAGAGACGGCCCCACACTGCCCCCTGGGGGCACTGAGCCAGACAGCTTGCTCAAGAGAGCACAAGAGGCCCCTCCAGGGACCGAGAACCAGCTGGCCAAGGGCAGGGGACTCTTGGCGGTAGGGAGGGCCTCTGGTGCCTCAGCCTTACCTGTGGCCTAGAGGAGGGAACCTCACCTTGTGGGGTGAGAATAGGGACACGCAGGATGTCCCAAAAGGTGAGCAGCCCCACCACCCAAATGGTCCCTGGGTCATCTCCTGGCCTCATACCTATCACGGCCCAAGGATGACAGCCGGCTTCCCAGGATTGACCAGCAGGAGGCTCAACATCAAGAAAGCACTTGGAAATGTCCGAGTGTAAGCACGGCCTTCTGGTCAGAGCTGACCCCTGGGCCTGGTCTGGTCTGTGCACCCTGCAGTGCCTATCTTCTCTGCACCCATGCTTGGGTTGGGCCAGCAGGGGGCACCAGCATGGGTGATGGGAACCAGGCAAGGAATCCCGGTCACAGATGGGAGGCTTGCTCTCCTGCTGGGACACAGGGTGGAGAGGGGCATCTTCTACCCCCGGCTTGATGTGGAAGCTGCTCTCCCCTCAGGGGGTCCACAGCCCCGTGGTCTCCAGAGAAGCAGAGCACTAGAGCTGGAGCCCAGGGGGACCAGTCCTCCTGTCCAGTGCACCAGGCCGTGTCTGCCTGGCAGGACACAGCCAGTGCGCAGGGAAGTGGGGCGGTGCTTCTGAGCCTCTTCTCAGTCTGGGTGGAGTGTCCCTTATGGAGGGGGGGTGCCCTGCTCCCATTTCTCAGACAACACAGGGGCCACAAGTGAAGGGGTGCCTGTACCTCTCCCCCCAGCTCTTCCCCAGGAAGAGGCCACTCAGGGACTGTGCCAAACTGCTGGACTCAGGCCCCACATCCCTGGGATGGGTTGCTTCCCCTCCCATGGGTGGCCCTCCTGGGTGCCCAGTCCCTGGCGGGCAAGGCCAGTGCCAGCACAGAGCCTGCACTCTAGCCCGTCCCCACCAGGCATGCTTCACCCTGTCTGTAGCAGAGGACACTGAGGCTGGGAGCGGCAGCCGCACACTGGGTGAGGCCAGTCTGCTCCAGCTGGCACTGACTGGGACAGAGGGGGTGGGCACAGGTCTCGGTCCTGAGCAAGAGCTCTCAGTGTCTGTGCACCGTGCACTGCCTATCTCACTTCATCTTCAGATAAGGTGGAAGGGCCTCAGAAAGCAGGCAGGAGGGCACAGGAGGAGGCAAGCAGAGATGTCCCCGGCCCAGGGCAGAGCCAAGGGCAAGGGGAGGCACAGTGGACAGGACAGGGCGGGATGCCCAGTCTCAGGAACCAGGTCGAATTCAGATCTTCAACCAGATCAGGTTCCAAATCCCACCCCTCCCCACCAAGGCCATCTGCCAGGACTGACCAGCCTCAGGAGTCTCACCTGCCATCCCATCCCATCCGTGATTCTAGACAGAGCAGAGGGCCGATTTCACGGAGGCAGGCCTGGCGACCGGGTCCAGCTGGCACATGCAGCTTGTGCCCCTTTGCGCCCAGCCCAGCCCCCATGAGGAATCCTGAGTGGTGTGGAAACTGGCAGTGGGTGGGAGAGAGGGTGTCCAAGCCAGGCTAATCGGAGGATGCCACTCGGTTCCCATGGCAACTGCTGCGCAGCCTTTCAGGATAGACCCAGGTTAGGCCTCAGCTGCCAGAACACCCACTATTTCAGGGCTGGTTACCTTGGTGACCCAGGTGGTGAGGATGTGGAGGGGGAGGGGAGAGGAGAGGTGGGGATCATAAAGAGAGGCTTGGGGACCCTGACACAGAGCATGGACCTCCCTCTGCCCACACTAAATCCAGTCCCAGCTGGTTATGTTGAGTCTGGATCCAAGTCATAGGCTGTGCCCTGGTCCTGGTCACACACTGAGCCCTGGCCTGAGCTCTGGTCCTGGTCACAGATTGATTCCTGACTCTGGTCACACACGGAGCCTTGATCCTCATCATAGACTGACCTCTGACCTGAGCATAGGATCCCTGGTCCAACACCACACACTGAGCCCCGATCCCAGCCACCACTGATCCTAACCTTGGCTATGTCTCTCCACTAAGGAGCACTCAGGAAGTGTAGCTGCCGTTTTTGCCGTCATCTCCTGTCTAACGTGTGTCCTCACAGAGCTGACGCTCCACAAATGTTTGCCCTGCCAGAGTGGGCGCCAGAAAGGGAGTTACAGGGAAGGGCTCCTGGGGTCCCCTGCCGAGCAGCACACACAGCACAAAGGCTGTCAGGTCCCGCGGGACGCAAGGGGGCAGCAGAGGAGCAGGCAGGGCTGGGGGTGGGCTGCCCCTCCGGTCCCGGAAAGAAGCCGCTATTCTTCCCCCACTCAATGCCCCTCTGTCTGGAAGCCTCATTTCCATCTCATTATGGCGATGAATAGAGCCAATTATCGGCCGCCAGGCAGGCCGGCCACCCAGGGACGAGGGTGCACAGTGAGGGGGCTCGAGTGTCCTTCCCACCGTGGGGACCAGGCCTGAAGGCAGGGGCTCCCCAGATCCTGCGCCCGGAGTGGGCTGGGTCGGGGCTCCGCGGGAGCCCTTCCCCCAGGGCGGCCTCTCCAGTCTCCGGGATCCCCTTTGGAGGGGAGGGACGCTGCACTCCCAGCCTCATCCAGCAGAGGGCGCTCGAGCCCCGCAGGTTGTGCAGCCCCCGGGCTACTGCCCATTCTTGCCCCTGCGGGGCCGGCTGGGGTCTCCTGGCACTCACTGCAAGGTGCAAGAACGGTCCTCTGTCCAGGCTTCCTAGAGGGGCGCCCAGGCGCTGACCCCGGCCATAGGACCCCTCTGAATAAGCACAGGACCACAAGGACAGGAGGCTCCCTGATGCCCCTCCCCCACTTAGCCCCACTCCTGGGCCCTGCATCCAGCCGGCCTGAAACAGCCCACCTTCTGCTGGGCTGGCAGCTCCTCCTCCTGTGGAGCACCTGCTCAGTGAAGGCTCACACAGGTCCCACAAGCAAGTCCTCCCCATTCCCAGCCCACAGAGGGGAACAGGCTCCCTGGCAGGTGCTCCCAGGTGCTCCTGGTCCTGAGAACAGTGCCCTGATCACTAGTCTGAAAACTCAGTCCATCCTGGACAGTCTTGCTGCTCGTCCTGCTCGTCCCCAGGCTCTGGCTGTCCCGCAGCCAACCTGACATCCCTTCTCCTGCCTTTCTGGGAAGTGGCACTAAATTAGGCCATGATCCTCAGCCTGCCTCCAGCCTCACGGTCAGGGCTGGCAGCTCCCTGTGGACTCTCTGCATGGGCCCACCCTGCTCTTTCCACCTGATGGGCACTGAAGGGGTGCCTGTACCTCTCCCTCCTTCTTTTCTAGACTTTTCTAAATCGACAGGCCAAGATGAGGAGCCCACTATCCCTGAGAGTGAAGACCCTGGTGCTTTCCCCAGCCCCACCATCTTCCAGCACCCACCAAACTCCACCTCAACCCCAACTGCACCCCAGTCCTCCTCCCACAGGTCAGGCCAGCTCCCGCCCGCCCTCATGCTGCCCCTCTGGCCTGCAGACCTCAGCGGAGCTTCTGGGAGTGCGACTGTATGGGGGTCACTAGCCAGGCGGGACACTGATGACTGGCCCTGGGCAGGGCCAGAGGGAGGGTCAGCTCCAGCCCTGCAGGCCATCGGGTCCCTCACATGCCTAGCAGAGCACGCATGCGCGTGTGTATCCACGTGTCCACACCCCCGGACACCCAGGTCAGCTGAGCCTCCCACCCCTGCCCTGGCCTCTGTATACACACACACAGGGACACACACACGGGGACGCCCATACGCACGGGGACACACACACTCGCTCCCACCCCCAGGAGGCTGCTTCTTCATTATCTTACATGTCGCTTCTGCAATAAAATTCTTTAATTAAAAACATGAATATTTAAAACAACCCTTGAGAGAAATGCCCATCTCACCAGAGGCAGAGAGCTGCTGAGAGGTGGTGGGGAAGATGGAGTGAACGGGGAGATCGAGCTGGGGGTGGCACCGGGACCCAGGGTGGGTGCAGGGCCTGGCAGCCATGGAGGGGGCCGGGCAGAGAAGGACAGTTGCTCTGGCCTGAGGCATGTTTGTGGAATCTGATGCGTGACGTGGCCATGTGGCATTGGGACGGGCCTGGTGGGGGCAGGGTTGAAAATGGGCCACGGCTCGCCCAGGCTGCCCCCGCCTCGCCTGGCCAGGCACCTCGCTGAGGTGGGGCTGCACGGTGGGCGCAGTGAGGCGAAGGTCCTGGGCACGGGGCTCGCAGAGGAGAGCTGGGTAGCTGCTGCGTGGGCTCAGCCATGTCTTCTGAAGCTACCCGACCTTTCGCCTTCTGCACACAGAGGGCACTCAGTGTAAGCCCAGGTGGCACCCAGGTGTCTCTGCAGCCTACCACTCACTAAGCTGTGTTACTCGGGTCACTGCGCTAACATCTCTGTTGCCCACACGCATTTGCTGAGCACTTGCTGCATGCACCTGGGGGAAGGGCCGTGAGGGGCTCAGGCCTCCTCTTAGCACATAGTCAGGGAGGTGCACGACCTGCCCAAGGTGACCTGTGTCATGGAGGAGGGGCAGAGGGGCAGAGGGCCATGGAGGGACTGCCGCCATGACACAGCAGGTCAGGGGCCTCACGAGAAGGAGCATCTGAGCAAGGCTGCGGGCTCAGAGGGGAAAGCACTCAGCCCTGCGAGGTCCTGAGGCAGGGGGCAGCCTCAAGGGGGAGCCTGTCTGGGGGGGGGGGCACCACGAAGAGAAAGCAGTGGACACATGGGTGCTTCGGCACAAGATGAGCACCAGGCAACGGCTGCGCGGTCACTGCGGCTCATTTTCATTCTCACGGCCCAGGAAGCCACAGGGCCTCTCAGGTGCAGGGCATGGGCAGGGACTATGTGCCACCTGCTTCACGCCACCAGAAAGACGGGCAGGCCCTGCACTCCACTCCACACTGCAGAAAGAGCCGCACAGAGCCCTGCCGTGTGCACACGGGCTCACTCGCATGCATGAACACCGGGCACAGCAAAATGCATCGCACCCACACATGCAATGTGTGCACACACGTGTCACATACACACAATGTGCAGTATGAACAGTCACTGCTCCGTGCACACACATGCTACCACACGTACACACATATGTGGGTGCACATGCCAGACGCATGTGCATGAATACACGCGCAATGCACTGTATGTATGTGAACTCCATGCACTGCACACACGTGCGCTGCATGTATGCACACGCGTAACATGCATGTAGCACACTCACAAGGACATTCATGTGTGAACATGCATGTGTATAACACCCTACACATGCATGGATGCGTGCTGACATTTGTGAATGCACAGAGCCCACAAGCCTGTCCACTACTGACCTGTGCACCCACCACGTGCTGCACGCACACGTGTGCCACCTCACCAAACCAAAGCATGTGCTCCCTGCTCCACCCTACCAGAGCCCATCCACACGCTTCCAAACCGGCTCGTGAACAGGATGTACCACACACATGTGCACACCGTGCACTCACACCTCCCCGCCTGCTCTGGGCACCACTGGCCAGCATCCTTTGTCCAAATCTGTGCACACACCCCAGCTGCCCACACTGCATCTCCAACACCCCTGCCTCCAGCCGGTCTCTGCCCCAGGCCCTCCAGGATCTCCGGCCTGGTAACACACAAGTATGCCCCTGCCTCCTCGTAACGCTGCTTCTGCTCAGAATCACCTCGCCCCACCTCTCATTTCCGTGGAAATCTAGGCAGAGAGGGCAGTGGGAATGGTTCAGACGTACATGGCAAGCCAGGGTCAGGCCAGGATTTGAACCCAGGCCCTGGGTTCAAAAGGTACAGTTCAAAAGCCCTGCCCCCACCTGGCCCTGTCCTGTGCCCCAGCTCTGAGTACAATGCCCCCTCCCAAGATGTCCCACAGGTAATTCGTCCTCTGTCCCACTCTGACCTCCAGATCTTCCTCCTCGCTGCGTCTCCCACCCCTGCTTCCCCACTCCAGTGGATGTCCTCGATCCTGACCAGAACTGTGGAAGCAGTCCAGTCTCTCCTGCCTCTGTGCCCACTTCATCCACAAGTCCCTCAGCTCCACTTGAAGGCCTTCCTCCTGCCCCTGCTACTGGGCCCTGACCAGGGCAGCATCAGCCACCTCCTGGATGCCTGCCCACGCCACCTTCTGCCTTAGGCTCCCACCAGGGAGCCTTTCTGCTTCTCGCAACCCAGGGGTGTCCCCCTTCTGCTACCAGCCCTCCCGGGCCCTTCCCTTCTCAAGATCACATACAAATGCAGGGGGAGGCCTGGCGTCACAGCCACAGCTCCTGCCACGGCGGCTGCCCATGGAAGGGCTCAGGAGTGGAGCCCCAGGCTCCCGGGCACCGAGGTTCCACGGCCACCAGCACCCTCCAGCACCCTCCAGCAGACGCCTGCATCCACCGGGCCAGCCCAGAGAGGTCACGGCTCCTGCCAGCCAGCTCCACTGCTGAGTACCTCTGGAGACTCCCTGTGTGGCCACCCCCCAACCATTCTACTAAAGACGGGCACTGCCCAGGACCCTGATGTCCGTCCACCCCGGTTGGCAGAACACCCTGCAGGGTACTCCACACAGCAGATGAAGGAAGAAGGCTCCTCCACGAGTGGCAGGGCAGGACTCACGGCCAGATCTGCTGATGACCGCCAACCCTGTCCTCCTGTGTCCCCACCCAAGCCAGCCGTCAGCCTCTGCGTCCCCGGAGAGCACTGCTCACTCTGCTCCCTTCTTCCCGGTTCTGCTTGGCCCACTACCACGCCGACTGTGCCAGGGAAGCTAAGCTGCCCTTGCCAAGGTCACAGTGACCTCCAGCCTGCCCAAATGGAAACTGGTCCACTTCGCTTCCTGGGCCCCAGCCCCCAAGGAGCTGCCGCTGTCCTCCATGGCCCTGGAAGGGCCAGTGCAGCGCACCTCTCCCCGGCCGTCCCTGGCCCCCAGCGGGCCCTGGAGAGGCCCTCGATGTCCTTGAGGGCCCTTGACCCACAATGGCCTCTAGACATTGAGCCCCCAGTGGAGCCTCACCCCTGAACAGAGGTCAGCTCCCACGCAGCCTGCCAAGCTCCAACCCCTGCCCCTGCCCAGCTCAGCCCAGCCTGGCCTCCAGCCCAGGTCCTGGGTGCACAGGGCCTCAGGACACAGGGCAGGCGTGTGCAGGACTGCCCTGTCACCTCACCTTGAGCAACCCTGGCTTCCAGCCCACGGTCACTCCAGGAGGGGTCCCACCTCCCCAGAGGAAACCCAGGGGCCAACACCCCTCAGACCGCCTGGGACCCTCTGCAGCAGGACACGCTAAGCCCCTGCTGTCCCCTCTGCCTGGAATGCTGTCCCCTCACATCCCCCAGTCTGTGAACATGGTCCACAGCCTAAGTGACCTCCCTGACCTCAAGAAAGCTAGCAGCCCGGAGAGCCAGGGCTGCGGGTGGCTGTGCGCCCGCCACTGCCGGGGGAGTGGCTGCTCGCTGCTGGCTCCTGGCGCCTCTCTGTCCTGAAGGGGCAGCTCCCAAGGCAGCACTCCTATGCTGTTCTTGCGGCTGGGTCCCCTACAGCAGGCCATGGGCGGGGGGCACGCCCCCCGGCAGCATCTCCACAGAGCCCCCTGCCCACTCCATCCGCTGTTCCCTGCACCTGGCCCGGCCACCGGCCTCAGCAGGCTCAGTCCCTTGAGGTGCCCTTGCTAAGAAAAGGAAAGGACCCTCTGGTGGGGAGTTTGAACTCCCCAGCTGGCAGGAAACTCAACCCTGACCGAGCCCTGGCCACTGGGAGCCCAGAGAGCCTGTGGTGAACAGCTCAAGGAGGCTTCCCACTGGGACCAAGGCGCTGCTGGCCACACTGCCCTGGGGGCCGGGCCCACTTTGCCCTCACCCTTCTGCCGGCAGAGCCGCCTCAGCCTCTCCCTCCGCCACTCACCTGGTGCGCCGTGCCCACCCCTGTCCTGGGTCAGGCTGGTGAGGCAGTTCTCGGGGCCACCCGCCACGCCGTCCCTCAAGCAGACGTCCCCATGGGGGACCAAGGGGCTGGAGGCAGGGTCGCTGGCCTCTCCGCCAAGGCAGGCACAGGGGGTCTGCATGATGCCACAGGGATGGGAGCTACGGCTGCCGGCCAGACAGGCGTCCAGCCAGCGGCACAGCATCTGGCAGGCGGCCCGGCTGGGGCTGCGGTTGCCCACCACCAGGTACTCCACCGAGAAGTCGTCCCTGGGGCCGGGGGGCCCGGGGCTGTGGTCCTGGGCCGGCTGCTGGAGCTGCATCTGCAGGAACTGCTTGCTGGCCTGCAGGAAGGCGAGCGGCGCCGAGGGGTCGCAGAGCCGCAGCACCTCGTCGAAGCTCTCCACACCCAGGTAGGTGCGCGTGGACTCCAGGAAGGAGTCGAACTGGTAGGTGCGGACGCGGCCAGGGCCTCCGCAGGGCGTGGGCGCCTTGGCCACCTTCATGTAGAGAGTGTAGCGCCGGGGGTCCGGGTTGCGCAGGGTCCAGGAGCAGCGAGAGGCGTTGGCTGGAAACACAGCAGCTGCCGAGAAGTAGCCGAAGAACTTGCCCTGCACCAACGTGGTGCACGGCTCGGCCCCGGGCCCTGCGTCCACCCCGGTGGCCCCCCGCGCCCGGCGCCCCAGCAACAGCAGCAGCAGCAGGAGCGGCAGGAGGATCCAGACAGGGCCCGGGGCGGCGGCCTGGCCCCTCATCCTAGCTCGCGGGGCCGCCGGGGTTCCGCGGGCTGGGCAGACAGGCACGGGCCAGGCCTTGACATGCCAGGGTCCGGCTGCAGGCGGGGCCGGGCCGGGGGCAGGGGGCAGGGGGCCGGGAGCCGGGGTGGGGTGAGGACAGGATGGGGCAGAGCCCGGCTTCAGGTGAGAGGGCGGCAATGGCTTCTAAAGTCCAGGGCCCTCGCGCCCGCCCGTGGCCACCATGGCAGCTGGAAGAGAAAGCAGAGGGGAGCGTGGTGAACCCCGAGGTTGCGGCTCCTGGCCTGCTGGGACCCGCAGGGGCAGCACAGCGGCTCCCGCCAGGCACCAAGGCTTTGGAGCACACGCTCTGGCTCTGACGCCTTCCAGAACACCTGCTCAGTCCCCTGCCTGTCCACCCCAACTAGGGTGTCCACCTGCAGAGCAGGGGTCCAGCCAGGGGAATGGCGTCCCTCTTCCTCTACCCGCACTGATTAGGGAGGGTGAGCAGGCAGCCTAGGCCTCTTGGCTGCCCAACTGGCCAGGTCCTGGTGTGGTTCCTATGGCTCTGCTCACGGCCCTCTGGATACCAGCAAGAGGAGAGGATGCTCTCTCAGCCCTCTCAGCCCTCTCCTCTGTCCTCTGCCCCTCCCTCAATGACCTTCCTCCTGCCTGGGAAGAATCTGCCAACCAACAGGCAGAGAACAGAGGACAGAGGTCATTTTGACCATCTCCACTCAGCAGACCTCGGCCTTGTCTGCAGGCCCGAGTGGGAGCACTGCAGACCCCACAGCGGGAGGTACAGGGCGTGGACGTGAGGGGTCTGACTGGTGCCGTCTGCAATTGCCAGCTGTCTGCTCTGCTGGTTCATCCCTGTGCCCATGAATGCTCCTGCAGGAAGACCCTCATGCCCTTCATCTCCAGACACAGGACCTAGGGAGGAACGGAGGGACGATGGCCGCCTTGCCACCCCACCCCCAACCCCGTGAGGCTGCACCATGACAAAGACCCCAGGTTCAGAGACAGGCCTAAGCAGCTTCCTGAAGCTGCAGTGAAGGGGGGAAGAGCCACAGCAGAGCCTGGACAGACTCCCAGCCAGGTGGTCTCCCAGCACAGGAGAGGGCCCGGCTGCACCACTGCCCACGTTACAGTGAACAGCAAGCTAGGCACTGCCCAACCCAGATCCACCCAGGCAAGGTCCTTCACTGGCCAACCTCAGTTTCCCACATCCATTCCACCCATCAGCTGAGCCAGTAGGGGAGGGAGGGGGTCATGGTCAGTCCCCTCCCCTCTGAGCCCACTTGGCTTCGCCTCTACTCTGCTGACCCCTGCAAAGGAGGGATGTGCTGCTTCCTGCTGCTTCCTGCTGCCTGAGCCCAGCTGGCCAGAGACACAAGGTCATCACGGCTCTTCATTCCCTTCTAGTCCTTCTGCAGTGGCCCCCCAAGCACAGTAGGGAGCCCCCAGGTCCGCCCACTGAGATTCTGAGCCCCCAGCGGGGATGCTTGAGGCTGGACAATCCTCTGGGCAAGCCCTCACATGGGGCCTCAGTTTGCTCCTCTGTGAGATAGAGAGGTCCTCACGGCTCTCAGCAAGAGGGTAAGAGCAGCCAAGCACAGGAAGTGACACCAACAGGGAGAGGAAGCCTGAGGCCTCTGGGTCACCTGGGGCAGCTCCGGCCAAGCAGGCCCTGTCAGTGGTCCTTGAGGAGGACAGACCTGCACCGCACTCTTCTCAGCCTGCTTGCCTCTGCACATCTGGCAACTCACCCGGTCCCCACTCCCAAAGCCCATCCGCCAGCCTGACCTACCCACCCTAAGGGGAGGCCCTGGTCAGCCTGCAGAGCCCTCCCACCCTCTCCCCTATCTCGTGAAGCTGGAGAGGCCACAGCCAGGGTCCCACAGCCAGCCTCATGCCCTGTCCCCCATTCCCAACCTTATATAGCTGCCAGCCTTCACCTGAGCCCCACCCAGGGACTGACGCTCCCCTAATGCCCAGTGAGAATCAGGGACCAGCCCCGGCCCCAGCCCCTGGGGGAATGTCAGCAAAGCCGGATGGGAAGACCCAGCCAGGCCCAGCACTGCCCCCTCGTGCCTCTGCGGCTCCACCACAGGTCCATCTCACTCTGCCCCCACTGGCGGGGCAAGGAGGCACAGGCAATCCTATTAGTCCTGACCCCCAGTTAGGGTTACCCCAAACCCACTGCATTCTGCCTGGCAGGGGGTCTGGCACAGCCGGGCATGTGAATGCCGGCCTGGGGCCTCTCCCCACAGCCTCCATGGAAGGCCCTGTCTGGGAGGCACGGTGGGTTGGGAGAGCAGAGCAGACGCAGAGCCAGGATGCACAAATCCCAGACTCCACAGGCCGGTGGCCAGGCACAGGGCCCTCCGGGCCTCCCATACCCTGGGTGAAGAATGGTTGCAGCCTAGAGCAGGTGCTCAGCCTCACAGCCTGGCCACGAGGTGCTGGGCAGGAGGGGCCGGTGACCTTGATCCTTGAGGGGGTAGCTTGGTGGGAAGACACGGAAGGACGCGCCTCAGGTGCTGGCCATCCGTGACAGCACCTCCAGGCAGCAATCCCAGGGTTCCGCTGCAGATCCCGCTTACAGATGGACACACTGGTTCTCTTTCAGCAGAGCCACACCATGTCCTCTCCCTGCCACTGTCCCAGGACCTGCAAGAGTTGGCTGCGCCATCCCTGCTGGCCAGTCCCATGTCATGGGCCACCCTGTCCTCTGAGCAGCATCTCAGTGTGGGAGAGGTGGCCGTGAAGGACAGCAGCAGAACAGCCTTTAAAAGGACCACCTGGCAGCCCCGGGGTTTACCTGTAGGGATGTAAGGGACTGGGGGACAGGAGTGGCCTAGGGAAGGAGGCTGCAGGGATAGGCCCCAGAGGCAGCTGGAGGTAGAGGGCATGGAGGGACATTCCTGGGCGCAGTGGAGTTGGATGATCTGATCTTCACTAGAGGACCCGCTGTCTGTAGGGGACAAAGGCGAGCAGGAGGAAGGGGCCACAGGAAAGGTCCTCCTTGAGGCCGGGAGCTGGAGGAGCAGAAGTGTGCCCATGTGTGCCTGTGGGCACAAGTGCGTGAGCACACGTCTGGGTGTGTCCCTGTGTGTGTGCGTGTGTGAGGGTGCATAAGCACACACGTGTGCCTCTGCGGGTCACAGGGCAGGAGGAAAACGTGGCCTCTGCTGATGCTCACTGGGGGATCCAGGTGCAGCTGGACCAGAGAGGCAGCCTGGGCAGCAGGAACCTGCCCTGGATAGCCTGGGCCCTCCGCAGCCTCAGCGTGCCGGGCTCTCCTCCCCAGGGCCCAGCAGCACCCCATCCTGAGCTAGTCCACACCGACAGACGGACCTGGGCCCGGGCACTGCATCCCCTCCCCACCCACCCTCGACGGCCAATGGCGTCCCCAGACACCAGCCACAAAAGGCACTCTGTAGTCCTGCGGCTTCCGAACAGTGCCCGCCTGTGTCCTGAGAAGGCTGCGCTGGGGGAGGGGCAGGCGCCCTCAGCTCCGAGGGCTGTCCAGGGGGGTAGGAGGCGGGTGGGCGGCCCTCCCTGCTCAGGGTGCCCATGCATTCCTGTGGGCTTCTGGGCCTCCAATGGCCCAGCAGCTGGTCTCTGGAGGCCCTGTGGGTCCTTGTAGGCCCTCTGACATGAGCCCAGGATAACCTGTGTGTGTACGTCAGGGCCCAGAGCCATGAGAAGAGGCCAGAGGTCTAGGACAGGCCTCCCTCAGGGGTAACAGACCAAGGACTGGGTGCTTGGACAGCCTGCCTCCCCAACCCCCAGGCTCCAGACCCATCCGCCCACCTCGGCCTGGGCAGACCTATAGGACAGCCAGCCTGCTTCAGTAGCACCCAGCTGTACTCTACCCCAGAGGGCAGGGTGGGGGCCAGACCAGTGAGGCATCTCCACTGGGAAACGGGGGTGCCAGGAGGCTTCCCAGATGGGCCTGGGAGCCCAGCATGCTCACCGTGCCTACCAGGCCTGGCCTCGTAGCAGGCCACCTTCCTCTGTCCACCGCCTGCCTGGGCACAGGGACCACCCGGGGGACCTGGCTGGAAGCCAGGGTGAGCTTGCCAGGAAGACAGAAAAGCACGGGCAGAACATGGGCCACTCTGGGGGTGCACAGCAGGGGCCTGGGCGAGGCTCTGCTCAAGGCACCACAGTCCTGGTGCAGGCCTTCAACCAACCCCACCCACAGAGGGCCACCAGCTGCCACCTCCACCAGTCACGGAAACAAGCCCAGAGAGGCTGAGCATCTCCCCCAGCTAGTCCTGGAGGGAGAGAGAGGCCCCATCACCCCACAGCCCACTCCACCACCCATGACACCTGGGCCCCAGGTTGGGCAAGGCCAGGCCTCCTGCACCTCATGAGCTTCCTGCAGGCCCGGGGCCTCCAGGGCCTTTGCCCACACCTCGCCCTCACCCTGCTGCTTCAGGTCCCTGCATATCCTCGGGCAGGTCTAAAATGAGAGGAAGGAAAGTCCTGTCACACAAGAGCTGTCCCCAGAAGGCTGTCTGATGGCAGAGCTTCTGGTGGCACCCTGAGACCTGGACCATTAGGCAGGTCTCCTGGCTCCTGATTCCTCCCACCAAGACCTGCCACAACAGGGCCAGGGCTGCAGCCAGACTAACCCTCTGTCCCAAGGAGGTAGGTCAGCCATCCCAAACCAGTGCTCAGATGGAGAACCGAGGCTCCCGGGGCTGCACCTGGGGAGCAGGCCCCACCAGGCCTCTCCCAACACCCAGAGCTCACAGGCTGCGGAAACACAGGAACAGCTGCAGTGGCTGCGGGGACAGAGCTGTGGGTCCTGCAGGTGGGCCCGGGGGTGTGTGACTGTGTATGTGCAGGTGTGAGGGTGTGAGTGCAAGAGGAGTGTGCAGACACATGCTGCAGTGTGTGTGTGGCCTTGTGCAAGTGTGCACACAGCTGTGTGTGCACATGCTCTTGTGCAGGTGTGTGTGTGTGTGTGAGCAAGTGGCTGGTGTGTAGGTGTGCCAGTGAAGCTGCGCATGAGGCTATGGTGTGCCAGGGGCAAGGGCATGGGCTGTGTGTACATGTGCACATGCTGCAGGGGACAGGAAGACCCTGGAGGAGCCACCATCTCGGAACCCTGGGCCAGACACCAGGAAGAGTCCCTGGGGTTGGGGGCTGGGAGCAACACAGAGGCAGGGGAGGGAGCGGGAGTCAGAATCTGCTCCTTGCCATGTTGGTTCTGGCGTCACGCCCACATGCCTTT